AACTCCGGCAAGCCCACTCTGTGTGCCCTGTCTATCCCGACTTAACCCGCGCCCCGTAGGGCTACCGGCGGACCCTACCACCCGTAGGGGGGGGGGGGCGTTTCGGCCCCCCCCTAAGATCTCGGAAAGTTACCGGCTGATTTTCAAAATTCAAACGGCGTTCGATAGCCCCACCCGGGAACTACCCTGTGACCAAATTTCATTGACCTAGGTCAAACCGATGACGTCACAGGTCGGGTCAAAGGTCAGATTTTCACCGTTCACAGGCAATTCAAGAAATGTGCTGTGAAAGCGAGTAAATTGGTAATTTATTGAAAACCATCGATGGTACATTGTTCGTCAAACACATACTTTGCTATCTGAGGTCACTGATACCAGGTCAGGTCACAGCGAGGTCAGGTCACCGGGGGTCACAATATGAATGTGTCGTGTGATACATGTTTTATGGTCCATTTTACATGACAAATGCGATTATGTGGGTTAGGCAGCCTTTGGGGCCAGCCTAGGTCACGTTTTTGTGAAGGTCAGGTCAAGGTCAGGTCAAATTAGGTCAAATTTCAAAGTTGATATTTTTGCATAAAATGGGTATCGATTCGATGCAGCTCGTCACGGGGAGTCTAATGGTGGTCTTCGTTTTGCTCTACAAGTTCTAGAATTGCCAAAAATTGAGTTTGAAAATTTGACGTCATCATTTTTGAACAGTTTTTTCGCTATAACTTGGCCAAAAAACGAGGTATCGATCTGAAATTTGGTATGTAGATAGAAGATGGTAGGCACTATCACATATATTCCGGTTTTTTCGAAACTCAAAAACTTTTTGGATTTTTTGGCGAATATATCCAAAAAAATGCTTTTTTGATTTTTGGGGGTCAAAACTCAAAAATTTCAAAAATTCGAGATAGCAGTTTTGTAGCCCTGTCAATTCTACACCTTTTATGTCTTGATCATTTTTCTATATCTTCAAAGCTGTAGTCCTGACAGGTCTTCTCGCGAAGGTCTTTTTTCGGTCGAAAATGACAGAACATGACGTCACTCTGACGTCATTTGTGGCCAACCTATCATAGCCTCTAGAAAAATTTTTGGTCACAATGTGTAAAATTGATGCCCGGAGGGGTCCTAAAAGTTTGGTGGCGATATCTCCAGCTGTTTAGGAGATATCGACCGAAAAGGACAGGGGGGGCCGTTTCGCCCCCCCCCCCTACGGGGCGCGGGTTAAGCCATAGAAGTGAATGGGGTTTATACATTGCAAACTGCTGTGGCTTTGCTCGGGTTCGGCTCGAGTGATGGCTCCTGTTTTCTCAAGTCTCGACTTGACTTCATCTTGCTTTTGCTTCACACTGGATCAAGTAGCAAGGAGCAGCCAATGCACTTTCAGCAGGTTGTGCGGTTTCAATGCATATTTAAAATTGTTACGGTCACTCATATGCTCTGTTAACCGGTCATCGAGGCTTGTGCATTGCAAAAGGAAAGTAGTGGTTGACTTTGATTGAATGTATATTTCAAACGACTACAGACACGTCAAATGAAACACAAATACATGAAACAGTGGACTGCAAACTGCAGCAGTAATATGGCATGAGTCATGAAAAACGCCATCAAAACTATAAAACAATCACAAGGCCCGCTAGCCTCCCTCCCCGTTCATAATACTTGGTTAAACACTCAACTGAAAGCATAAAGTAAGGACAGCAAGTAATCGCTCATAAGACATAAAGCAATAAGCAAACAATCGTTTATAGGTAAGGAACTTCACTCTGGTGAATGGGAGCTTTGGAGGCGTCTGGCTCCTCCACACACACACACATCTGCAGTAGGTGGTCGGCCAGCTTTCGGCGCAGTTTCCGTATATGTAGGTATACCTACTTAACCCTCGCCGGACCTATTGGTTTTCTACATACGCGCCGGCCGAGGGGGGGGGGGGGCGGGTACGACCCCCCCCTCGCCGTTTCGCCCCTGGTAGAGCTAGCGCGTCGCGGAAAAAACGAGCGTGTGCGCCGTTACGAGACGCAGAGATTGGTACCCGATTTTAAGGTCCTAGGTCAACCGGTGACCTCTGAGGTCAGGTCAAGTGCCCCAAGGTACGGTTCAGTTTTTGGTGAATAACTTCGCAAAAAATGGCCGCAGAGCCGCGATTTTGGCAGCATCGTGTTCGCCTCGCTCAGGCGCGTCGAATGATATACTTTTTGTTCGGGTCAGGTCAATTTGGGGTGTTGACCTCAGGTCAAGGTCAGGTCAGCACCCTAAGGTCACGAAGTTGGTCGAAAGGAGTCATGTCGCATATCATTCGATTCGGCAGGTCTTCCTGAGTCCATTGGTGGCTTTCCCGACTCGCTAGCTCAATTTGATCAAGAGTTATTGACGAAAAACTAATATGACCTTGATGACGTCATAAATGACGTCACGCAACGTCAACATTGCAAAAGTGACGCATCTAACCTTGCAAGGAGTGCATCAAATCACGATTCTGTGTGCTTGAGATAGTTGGAGATCGTTCCCGGCGCCAGAATAGCAGTTTGAATTTTTCCCCATTGACTTATAATGGTGAGGTCACGAAAATGACCTGACCTCATATGACCTTTAGGAAAAATCCGAGATATACAAGTTGTGAGACTCATAATGGATACTAGATCCTGCCAGTTTCATTTCCCTGTGACATCTCCTCTGGCAGTGAGGGCGTTGCGAAGTTGCGACATCTGAAGACCGTGCAGAGGTTCACTTATGACGTCATAGGTCAGTGACCTGACCTGACCAAAAAATGCGATTGGTGTCAAAAGATGCGGCTTGGATCAAAGGTCAGGTATGCCAAGTTTCAGCTCTCTATCGCCAGCGTGTTCGGAGCTATCGCGAAAAAACCCTATGGGGGGGGGGCGGCACCCGCCCCCCCCCCTCGGCCGGCGAGGGTTAATTATAGGCAGGCAGTTTCCGCTAAACCACTTGGCGAGGGCGACTGCGGCGTCCACCCGGTCCTGGTTTGTATAACATATTCCATTTTTTGGAACCATTTGCTCTAATGGTACGTACCTGAAAAAGAGATTAATTGGTTTAATTTACATTGCATGTTTGCTTGAAAAATAACTTATTGATGCATTAATACTGTAAAAACACTTCTCATTGATCCGTGTAAAATGTTCATTTGATTTTGAATGCGGACAGAGAATGAGCGTGCTCGGTGATAAGTAGACAAATATTTGTGTTTTGTATTTCATTTTCCTGGGTCAGAAGTGCTGGTATTTCACAAAGATATAAAGGCACGGAATGCAGCTTTTCTGAGCGAGGGTATAAGTCGCTAGGCTGAACAGTTATTCAGCTTCATGTTTGATGGCGTCAAACTCAGTCAAAATCGTGACGTTTACATACGATCAAGCGCACCATTCAATACACTTACCTACCGTAAAACTCCATGCCAGTCCTTTTGATAAGAGCAGTGAGCACTATCCCTTCTTCGCGCTGTCACACGCGCCCAAACATCAACCACCAAATGCCCCAACACCGGTGTGTCGTTTCGTCGCACAGCGCACAGACTGTCACAAACGCTGCACATGATTGGCGCAGAACTGCGCATGCGCGAACAGCCGAACAAGTATGGCTAAGCTCCGGCTTTACTCCAGTTAGCCGAAGGACACAGCCAGCTTGATCAGCCCGCGCTCCGCCCAAGTCAAGCTTGTTTTGGATGCGCGGGCAGATGTCGGGCTGAGCTACTGCTATCCGCACGTGGGCATAGCTGCGGCATGCCCCAGCTCAGCCCTAGTAAAAAATACATTGGTTTTGATCAAAGTGGGCAAACCCAAGCTAACCCCAAGCTGCCCGACGCTTGCCACAGTTCAGCCCAAGCGAATTGCTGGCTGGGAAGTCAATGGGGGAAAAATCAACTCCTTGTTTTACCACTAAAACGGGTCGGAAAGGCCCCATATACCATACATGACTTCATATACGATCAACCTTCACTACCTTGAGGTCTGTTTTGCTGTTGGGCAGCTGTGAGGTCATGTGACGTCATCAAAGGTCACCAAAGGTTTTTTGCCAATAACTCCGTACAGGAACAAGATACAGCCGCGCGGATGGTCTCATTGTGTTCAGCTCGTCAAGACGCATCGAATGATATACATGATGACCTCGAGGTCACGTGACCTGAGGTCAACCTTTGACCTTGACCTTTCGAGGTTAACATATATGTCATTCGATGTGGATTGACGAGAGGATCACGATGATGCCCTTAGTTTGTTCCTATCTTGACTAATTCGAAAGTTATTCGAGAAAACTCTCCCATATCTAGCGCCGCCATTTTGACTTTTTTGACCCCTGTGACGTCATCCTTGACCTGACCTGAAAATGACCTACGTAAAAATTGTAGACACTCATGTCCGTGCGTATCCCATGCCGTTTACCACTTGTCGCTATCTTGCTTCGTTCTCGAGATCTCAGGGGTGGGGGGCGGTCATCCGCCCCCCCCCCCCTGTCGGTACGAAGTTGGCGCAGACCCCCGTCGGTGCGCGTGTTAAAAACTAAGCTCTTGGTAGCGATTGCCGTGGTTCAATGTTTTGCGTCGAAATCGGCCGAACATGCCGTCACTCTGACGTCATTTCCGGCCGACCTATGGTAGCTACGAAAATCATATTTCATTTTTGACACAAGGTGTAAAATTGATGCTGCCGAAGGTACTGAAAGTTTGGCGTCGGTACGTCAAGTCAAGCGGTTTGGAAGTTATTGCAGAAAACGGGAGGGGGCTATGAATAGCCCCCCAGTGGGGCGCGCCGCGCGGGCTAAAAAGTGAGACAGGGGGGCTAAAGATGCCCCCGTGCTGCGGTGGTTGGGATTACCCACCGGGCCCAGAAGATGTTGGAATTTGGATGCCTGCTATTTAGTTGATCCATTAAATATTCGAAAAAGACGAGGTTTTGTGCTTCAAATTTGCGGAAAAAAACTTTACCCAACGCTGGCAACCAGTGAAGGAAAATAGCATTCTCACGGTGTTTGGTATCACTCCCACGCAATATGGCAGCGCTCTCACGGTCCAAGTGGAGTACTACGCTGACGGCGCAGACGCTCCATTCAAGGCTGCGGCGCTGTGGCGTGCTCGGTGGGGCTGTGGGCGGAGCTTGTCAGGGGTGACGCGATCGGGCGGCGTCGTGAGTGGACTGTGACCGCCGACCCACCCCACTCCGCCGCCTGGCCTCGTCGAGCACGTGCCGTCAGTGTTGTTCTGAGCTGAAGCCAGCACGCCACTGTGAAGAGAGGTGACCGAAAACTTTGTCATCTTTGGCGCTCTCAAGATGGAGTATTTCCGGTTTTGGCCTGTCTGCGTGGCGCTTGGCTGGGCCTTCTTCCACTGCGCTGGACGTTTCAGCAGCTACCTGTTGGTTCCAGCTTCGGCGCGAAAAACGACCATTCAAGCCTGGAAGTGGAAGAATGTATCTGTATCCTTCCTGCATTCACTGATTACTGGCACTGGAGCTTGTGTTGAGTAAGTATTTCCTTATTTCAGTTGGGCAAACTAGACTTTTGGAATCAAAATATGGAGGCATCAATAATTTGATTCTGGTGGGAGGAGCCATGACCAAATATGGGCATGGAATCAATTTTTTGATTCATTTGGGTACACTTTTGACTTCAAATGTATCGTTACGGTTGAAAAAAGGCCCATGACAGTGAGATTTTTCCTTAAAAAGGAAGAAAAATGTGGTAGGTTTACAAAAAGTGTTACCTCAAAGCTAAGAAATTGTCCCTTTGGCCTTGTGAATGGGAAAAAGACAGGGCCACTGTCCATCACGGAAAAGCTGTTTTGAGGAAATCACACTGTATGTTATTTTTGTATCATGAATCACATACTAAACAATAAGTATTTGTGTAAAATGGCAAAACGAAATTTGTAAACCCCTAATCATCATTGTTGTAGTGCTTTTATATTATTTATGTGGTTTTTACCTGTTGCTTCAGTTTTTGTATTCTTCACATTTAAAAATTATGCATTGTTATCAAATGTAGTGAAGGTAAAGCCCAACAATGCTATAGGTATCTGTTGTGGTGCTGAGTATACCACTAAATGAGAATAATAGCAAGATAAATGTTGTATTCTTGCAAGTGATTGTTGCCTATCTGTTAACATTACCTGTGAATCAAAATAATGATTAGCCAGCTGATGGGGAATCAATATTATGATTATCTGTTCGAAGTGAATCAATTCCTTGATTGGCTTTCACTACCTATAGAATTCAAATTGTTATGATAGGAGCAATATTATTTTGCTTAGGAGATAGTTCCAGCATTTCTGTTCAAGATCAGGCATGCTCCTTCTTGAAACACTCTCTTATTTTTATGTGATTGGTAAGTTAGAAATGGTCTGCATTTATGCCCAAATATGGTCATAAGGAATCAATCTTTTGATGCCTCCATATTTTGATTCCAAAGGTCTAGTTTGCCCAACTGATTTCTGCTGCGTTTGTGAGCCTCCTACCTATTTCAATTTTACTATTATGTAATGGGTCATAGGGCCATCAGCCATATTATTCTCTTCAACATGAGGTATGGTTATCAGTCTTTTTGATAATGGATATTGGGACTGGCTACTCATGTGAACTTATCACCTGATAGTGCTTTATGAAATGTCCAGCTATTTTTGTTTTCATGGATTGAGCTGTGAGCATGAGATTGTTATCAGCTCACCTTGTCAACTCACTTTGCTCCATTTTGGTTGTTATTATGAATTTGTGTTAATTGCTTTGAAGTTTGAACACTATCTTTTATTGTGTGACTGACAACAGTGGGAAACGGATCAGCCTACTTTATATCAAATGGCAGTATGAACCAATATTTTACCACTATATTTGTTTGATTTGATCTGCCTTTGATTTTGATGTCAATTTCAATTGCTGGTGGTCAATCACCTCCTGAGTGAATCACAATTTCAGCCATTAATTTTTTGTAAATGTGAAGAGGAAGCCAAAGTAGAATAAAACCATAAACTAACCGGACATAACCTTACCTACTCACCTACTAACCTACTAACCTTCATCCCACATACCTACCTACTTACAACCTACCAACCTACAAACTACCAGCCCACATACCATTCAGACTTCATCTTCACTAATGCCATTTTTATTTTGGAACCAAAACTTGTGAGCCCTTCAATATATAAGGTATAGGTACCTATGCGCCTAAGCAGCCATTTGAAATTTGACCACTGGTGCTGGCAAAATAAAATCTTTCTTTCATAATCTTTCTTTTCTTTCTTTCATGGCAAATCTTTCTTAAATAAATAAGTAGTCCACTAGGTAGTCACTAAACAGGTAGTCCACTAGATGGTTTCTATGTCTTAAAGGAAAAGGGCCACCTTCGTGAAATATGAAGATATCGTTGTTTTTCATTTTGACATTATTATTTTTCATTTTCTTTTTAAAACTGGTGCCAGAAGTGCACAATTCGCGAAAAAGTATTTAAAACTATTTAACATATTGGTACTATGTTGATACTCTCTACGGCACCTACTGTATGATGGCATAGCGATGACGTCACACTCAAGCCAATCAGCGTTCAGAAGACAGACTCGTCGGATTGTGTCAGATAAGCTGATTGGTTAAAGCTGAGCTGGTTGGAGCTGATTGGTAAAAAACCAAAGCCTCGCCGCGGGTGGCTGTATTGTCGGATAAGAACGCATTCCTGGGATAAGGACGCATTCCTGGCGTATTTTCTTTTAAAATTGCCGATAACTACGAATGGAGGCCGAAATCGGCCGTAAGGAGGTAGACAGACAGGTTTTCGGACACGGGCTACAAGATGGCTATCTCAGTTTCAATCCCCATGTTAAAGGTGGCCCTTTTCCTTTAAGTATCCATAACAATCTTCTTTGTTGCAGGTTTTATTTCTATCCAGCAATGGCTGCTGATGTTATTCACAGCTACTCCATGAGCTCACACATTCTGGTGTCATTCTCAATTGGTAAGTTTCCTGGAAGATATTTTGTTCATTCTAATAGAAAAGTTGGAAACTGTGAATGGTTGAAAAACAATAAGTAGTTGTTATGGTGATTATAAGTGTTTTAGGCCATGAAGTTCTGATTTTTTTTCTTCATATTGCCAGGTGTTTTACTTTTATAGCTGGAGTTTAATGGGTCCTGTAATTTCTTAAATAATGCATAGAAAGGTCTTGATTTATCCAAATCTTAACCCATGCACCGATACTTCTCGGAGATAATTAACCTTGCATAACATGGCTTGCACTTTGCTCTAGGTTTTGTGAATTTTTCGTTTACAACCCATGAATAATAGTTTTGGGTATGATATAAATAAATCGGCATTTGCGGCTGAAATGGCTCGAGTTGGTGCTCCTTGGTACGGTAATTTTTGTTGATATGACTGCAAACACTTTTCTGATGATGTTGATTTCGCAGGTTATTTCATACACGACGCTCTTGACATGGCGCTGAATAACATGAAGAAGAGTACCTACGAACTTTTGGTCCATCACGTCTTGGTAAGTATTGTTACATTTATAGACGCTTGAAATAGTATATTAAAGGTTTCTGTTGTCCTTTCAACACAAGTAGTAAATATGTGTCATCGAACGTTCTGCTTCTGAGTTATCAATACCATGAATCAGGTGTCAATACTCACGCATCACCCGCCACCCGGCTAGCAGCCTCTACCATTTGACCATACTCAAGGCTGAAAATAACGTTACAGTTAGGTACTAGAGCAATGCATACCATTGCACTAGTGCCAGCAACAGGCCCGGTCTATTGTCAGTCTATAAAGTAGCACCCTGCTGGAACTTTGCGCGTTAAACGCTCTTCTTGATAGATTGACTCTCTAGCGTGATCAAGGCTCTTCACGTCAGTGTTGACGCCGTTCCGATTGAACCCCGGTTACCGAGATAGGAGCCGGAGAATCAACCCATTAGGCTAGATTTTCGGCGTTTCGACAATATTCGGTCGACTTTTTTCTCATGTTAAAGCTATTGGAAATTGTGCATCTGTTCCTGTGCATGCCACGTGCTATCTGTACACCTTCATGACTGGAGACCCATGACTTGTGGCACATTCATGTGACGTCATCTGCACGTTGGGCAAATTTCATCCCTCTTCCACCATCTTTCAGGCAAGGAAAATTGAGCCCACCACATGCGTTTCCGGACAAACAAGGACCGACGAACGGACTTTACTTGTAATATTATTCTATTATTTTCAAACCTAACTCATGTTTTCTTGAAAGATGAATGCTTCTACATACTTGTATGTGGATTGTGAAACTCATCTTTGTAGCTTTATCTTAAAAGTTGCGACAAGATAGATATTTAGGTTTTGGAGGAAAGCTTTCAGACATACAGGGTTGACAACTTGGATCGCATCTGTTATGGTTAAGTTCCGAATTATTTTTCTCTACCTATTGAATAAGATAGATCTCATGGCGCTCATTTAGCGACGCTCTTATGAACCTTATGCGTTGTGACTCAATCATGATTTGTATTCTGTATGCATGCACCACGCATCACGTGAACAATCCAGGCTTTTCCGTACCTAGCTGCTACAAGAAGATTATTAGCAGCAACAGTAGAATATCCGCCTACACCAAATACCTATCGTTTGGTATATGTCGGTTAACAAACTGAGAGGCCCTGAAAGCGCGGCATCGTACTGAGTTACGTTGCATATGGTGGCTTTGCTTTTGCCGTGTTTGATTTAAATAAGTTGGCTCGGGATGAGTAAAAGTCCGTTTAGGTAGTCATTCCTTAACAGGTATTTAGCTTATTTGACAACGTAAACATGGCTCTCACTAGGTATATCAATGCATATATGTAATTTGTGGCATGCTTTATGTTTATCTATAAAAAGAACGCACTTTTAGGTAGTGGGCGCTGACAAAAATGGACATTTCTGCTTACGTTTCCCAAGAAATCGAGCATCAATACTGTCAAGCAACGGAGCCCTGTTGCGAGACAGGGCTCTGGCCACCGCGCTGCGCCGGTAACGCGTGGGTGTCGCAACTCGCACGGCGCCCGTCCCGTGGGTGTGCCGACCTCGACCGCACGGCGGGCGGCGCGCGGATGACGTCAGGTCGGTGACGTGAGCCCTGCTGGGTCGTGGTCGAGGGCGGCGACATGCGCCGGTCGATCGGCCCGAGCCGCTGATCTCAGATGGCGGAGTAATTTGCCGAGATGAAATCTGGGGGAACGGGGAGCGACGGTGGGTGGCCGGCGCCGTGCGACATGTGACCACGCGGCGGTGGGTGATAGGAGTGTCGCAGCGCCTAGTGCTGGTGAATGAATAACGATGCGGTACAAGACATTCCACTCAACATGACATTGACTGTTGAACCCGTGGCGCGTTAGGAGCTGCATAGGAATGACGCATCGATGAATCAGTCGTCTCTGATTGACATGTCGGATGTGAATGGCCTCGACCTACGCTCCCTAATTATCTGACTCTCTGAATATTCAACTCTATGACTTTGTGACTTACTCTGACTGACCTCGCTCACTCACTCACTCACTCACTCACTCACTCACTCACTCACTCACTCACTCACTCACTCACTCACTCACTCACTCACTCACTCACTCACTACCATGCACCTGACCCCGTCCCCTACCATGTTCACAGGTGATCCTGTGCTTTGGCCTGGCTGCGGTCTCCGGTCAGTACCTGGGGTACGCCCTGGTAGCGCTGGTCATCGAGGTCAACTCAGTGTTCGTCCACGTGCGTCAGATGCTGATCGTCCAGGGGATGGCCAAACACGCCAAACCCTACCGCCTGAACAGCTTGCTCAATGTCGGTAAGTGTTACATTCCTTCACACCCTCGCTTTCTTGTGAGTGCTCAGGTAGTCAATATTTTAGCTGGATCGAAGCTGGGTAATTTGGGTCATTATTTTTGGGACGTATGTTCGGGCGTATTGTGATCTATCTGTATGCTTGAAAAGGTAGGTATGTTAGTGGCTGAAGTCGGGGTCCACTTCTCCGTCGCCGCTGCTTATGTAACCGGGCTTTGACGGACGAGGGGCACGACTGGCCGTCTGGCTTTCATGAGCCGCCGCTTTTGGAAGGCATCCCTGCAGAATGGGCCACGTGCGGGGTAGCTGTGTTGCGACTTGCGGTTGAGCAATGCCCTGACCGATCTGGTATAAAGGTCATTGCTTGCTCATCAGGGGCATGGCGTTCATGAATTGGGTATGAACAATGATCGTTATATCCTCCTGATGTTGCTCATATTATGCCCCCTTTTGGTGTATACCAAGCGGACTACAGACAATATGCTGGACACTTACGTTGCACTGCTGGGTCGGACGTGTTTTCTTCCTTAGGCTGGGAGCTAGTGATGTTTTTCGTGGTGTGATGTTAGCATGTCAGCCTGCTACTTTCATGTTCCACGCGCGTGTTGCCAGCCATCATCAAATAATGGCTTGTCTTTACCCGACCGCGGTTGAAAACATCCATGGCTTATTTGCATCTCTCACGCTGCCACGCCTCAGCACTCAGCTTATTATTTTGCTAAAGGTAATTTTCTATACGCATGCTTTTCTGGGTTTGTGAGAAGCTTTACGAAATTCTTGAGAAAAAATACGAAATTCTTGAGAAAAAAAGTTTTTTTTCGCTTTTGTTCAAGCTGGAGAGTTTGGCTCTCGTTCGACTCCGAAATCTCCGAGTTTACCTGCTGTGTCTGTTTGCTATTGCTCTCTCCTCGCCCAGCGCAACTGTTTGCCGAGTCGCCCCAGTTACGACCTCGCACGTGCACCCGCAAAAACCTGTTCAGCCTGCCGTCGTGTCCCAACAGCGGCGCCGACCGGCCGTGCCGACGCACCGGTTCGAGCGCTATGCAGTCTGATACGTTACATAACGTGAACTGGGGAGGGCGGCGGCTCGATTCTCTCCTCCCCCCGCCGCCCCGCCCTACCCGTGGTCGTCCTGGTGTCGCTGATCATAACACGTAAGCTGAGCTGGCTGAAGCCCGATAAAAACTAGTGAGGAGCGATGTTTGGCGAAACCGAACCTGCTTAAATGGCTTACATTCTTCAGACTTGTAAACTTTCGGCCGCTGTCATACTTGGCTACCAGTTTGATCTGGTGAGCTCACTCGATAAGCAGTGATACATGCAAATGGCGCATTGGATATCCGTCTCCGTGAGGCGGGCCGTCGTCGTCTGTATCGCCCAGTCATTCTGCCCGGGCGGCCCGCCCCCGCCCCGCCCCAGCCGCACCGGTTACATAACACTGCCCTCACCGACGATAGCGGCGGCCGAGCAAACAGCTCGGAATGGCCGGGATAGAGTCCACCCGCCCCGTCCTCCACCCTCCTATCGTCCCACCATCGACCCCTCGACCCATCATCGTCCCACCCCGACGGCGCCAGAAGTGGGACCCCTCCACTCCACCGCCCTGAGGCCGACGTGTATGAGGATAAGTTCCAAGAAGCCGGCAGTTCGGCTCAAGTTTTGCCAGTCTGTGAGGTCCTCAAAGTGGACAGCTAGGCGAGTTTTGAGCGACAGGAATCACGGGCCACGGTTAACGATCGCTGAGCTGCGGCGACTGGACAGGAACTGTCGCAGCGGATGGCTATCGATCTCAGACTAACCCGGTCGCCTCCGTTTGGGTATCTAATATGGGTGACCGAATGGTCCATTGGCTGATGCGGCAGCGGGGATTGCTATCGCTGATATCCTGCTGGTAACATGTCGTTCGGATTAGGATCGCGTCTGCGCTGCTGCCGTCCTCGCCTTGTCCTGGGGACAGGATTCCGTGAAACGGTTCTGAAAGCTTCCTGTCATCGCTCTGCCACCACCAGTGGGGTAGGTAATGGAGCGCTGTCAGTGACGAGTACTGCTTGTGGCAGCTGGTGCCGACGGCGCATGGGGTGTTCGGACTAGTGTTTACTGTGTTGGAGATAAAACGGAATTGTGAGTCCCTGTGCTAGTAGACAGCACCGGGCTAGGCATAAAGCACCGGGCTCACGGCATAGCACGGCGGCCTCTCTCTTCCTCAATTTTTATTCTCTCTCTCTCTCTCTCTCTCTCTCTCTCTCTCTCTCTCTCTCTCTCTCTCTCTCTCTCTCTCTCTCTCTCTCTCTCTCTCTCTCTCTCTCTCTCTCTCTCTCTCTCTCTCTCTCTCTCTCTCTCTTCCCCTCGCCCTCCGAACGCCATTTCTCTCTGGATAAAATAGCAGCGGGACCTTGACTGAAAGTGACTGACTGACATTCAGATCAGAGCAGGGATTCCACTGTTGGGCCGACGCAGCGGGGCGGGGTGGGACCCGACACCGGATGTGTCAAACAAACAAGATAGCCTGGCTGCGTCATTTCTCTGCTGAGGCCTGTACAGGAACGGAAGCGGCGGGGTGCAATCTGAACCGTCCATTGCGAACATGGGGATGGATTACACTGGACTGCGGCTTGCTAGAAATTAAATATCCGATGAGCGGTGGTGTCCGATGAGTGCAGTAATCTTATAAAGCTGGGGAAATGAACGAGACCCGAGACGGCTAGTATTGCAGTTGGCGTCGCATCACATTTCTGGAGCTACCGATTTGCGGCAAAGTTCTAAAGCTTGTACTTTTTTTGCTTGGTCCTCAGCGCCGTATGCTATGTGCCGACATGCTTATCTGATGTTTATTGGTTTTCGTTGTGCTGGTTATGTAATAAATTCAGGTGTGGCGCGTTACATAACGCAAATCCTCGAGAGGAGAGTCGTGGACGATTGGTATTCTGAACTAATTGCGATGATGTAAGGTCATCTTTCGAGTGGTCATGTGCTTTGATAAAGCGTCCAGACATGCGTTATCTGTGTTGTTGTCTCACTCTGGGTTTTACTGCTGCGCAAAACCGTACATTTCCTATCGTAAACGCGCTAGCCTGATACACCGGGAGCCCAAACCGATCACGAAATCCGGAGAGACGCGCTTGAAGATAAGACAGTGTAGAGCGAATGGCTGATGACTGTGAATGTAGACTTTATGGCATTAGCACTGTTATGCAAAGTAGCTGCGTTTGCGCCCGAAAAAATGAATCCAAGAAGTTAAGACGTAATTTGTTTGACCCATGCTTAGCTATATTTCAATGAATTTCTTTCGTCGGCATTCATTAGAACATTTGCTAGAAAGTAAGCGAAGTTTAAGACTGTCTCCCGTTTGTTTCCATGCATATTCAGAATGTGTTGTTGCCTACTAGCCATTTTATTTACCGTCATATAGCACCCACTCTCTCCCCCTCTCCCGTCCGCCGTATTCCGCCCGCAGTATGAACCGTTCGCCGAACTGTATATCGGCCGTATCGGCGATATCACGGACCGGTCGATGGCTCGGACGCGCTCAGACCGACCGGCTGCCGATGGCCGCCGTGCCAGTCGCCGATGGCCGGCGCGTCAATCCATACTGCATGCGGTGCTGAGCACGAGGTGGTGTTACCGTCCTGACCTGCCCCACCCCGCCTTACTCCGTACTACTCCGCCCCTCTGCGGGCTGACGCTGTCCGCTGACCGCCGGTGACTGGTTACCGCCAGCCATTCGGTTCGATGACGGTCAGTCGTCAGGGCTACGTCTGTGACCGACCGATTAACATCGTTGCAGATGGCTGCGAAATATTGAAATTAACTGTCTGCCCAAGCGCCAAGAGAATGGCTTTATCCCACTCATTTCAAACTTCGTAAACTTTCATTTGCGGCTCCAAAAACCTGGACGTAGTCATGGGCGGCGGAACGGGGTTGGCACCGGGCACCGTGCCCCCTTTGATTTTGGCTTTTTAACATGAGCTCTATGGGCGTTGCATGGAAGGAATGGGACCAAAAGTCGGTAGTGCCCCCCCCCCCCTGATTGAAGGTGTTCCGCCGCCATTGGACGTAGTTTACGGATGGCATGCGGTTCTGTCCGTGAGACTGGGAACCACTCCCAAAGTGCAGCCGTCACGGCGATGCCTGTCGAGCTCGTGCGAATACCATGCACCGTTTGGTCTTTCCGGCATTATGCGCTTAAATGTACCACATGTTATGAAGCAAAACTGTTTTTAATGCTACTGGCTGGATAAAGTCAAAATGATATTGGTCTCCTTTCTGTCGCACTGGTGACCCAGTAATCAACTCACGTATCGACTTGCGCCTTTACTGAGGTAATCGACCGGCCTTGTTTCTAACGCATTAGGGTATCAGGCGGTGCGCCGCTATCATTGATAGCCTATCCTAGCGCGTAGGCAATCACTACCCACCGCCCCACGTGGACGTTCACATGCTCTAAACGTGACCCGTGCTGCCACGACGGGCCTCAGCCACGACTGCTGACGACGGCTTTCCACGTGTTCTGAGCGTGATCTGTGCAGCCTTCTTACGGTGTTGATCAGTGTGTGTCTGGCAGCGGATCGTGCCCGATAGCTGCTCAGCTAAACAAGATCGCTATGCCTCTGTATCTTGCCTTAATGCTGGCGTGAGAGAACGTTAGGCTCGATCTCTGTGCCCACCTATGTTCTAACCGCTGTTGACCTGAGCTGACCTGGTTTGACCTGACCTGACTTTTTGGCTGACCTGACCTGGCCTTACCTGAGAGCTAAATAAAGCGCGTATGGTGTCTGGTGTAGGGGAGAGGCGGGAGAATTGGGACTTATTTCTCAAGCCATATTTACTGAGGCATTATTTGAAAAGAATTGTTGCCAAGCTGCTATGTGCAGCACCAATAAAAGATAGGCCATTTCTCTGCAGCATACCATCATAAAAAAACGAGCCTATGCAGTGGTGTGGCTATGTGTGGAGAAAAACAAAAACACTCATTTTGGGGAGAATAGGGACACACGCAGGAGAAAAGGGACAGACACGAGGCTGAATTGGGACACATAAAAATGAGGTATTAGGACAACATTTTTATCTCGCATTATTGATCTGTCTATGTCTAGGCAATCAATTGAAACGTTGGAACTTATATTCACATTATCTGCTTCGTTAAGGCCGGGATTGTCTTTCACGATCACAATGTTCCCATTAAATGCACATTTTAAGACTTTTTGGTCTACGCTTTGATGCATTTGTGGTTAGGGAGCGCAGCTGCAACCCCGTCCAAAACATGAAGGTAAATACACATCTTTTTGCACCTTTTTACCATTTTCACTATTTGGTGTCCCAATTCTCCCACAACACCGCTATATCAAATGACGCATTTTTTGTCATTTGTCAGTTTCAGAGCGTGTTCATGCAAACTGGCAATCGCATAAAGGCGGTGCTAAGCTTACATCGTAACATCTTGAAAGAAAGATAGTTTGTCATATGCAATACACAGACAACTCAGAATAACACTCGAAAAAACAAGTTTTTTGGTGCTCAGCCAGCACAGCCCAACCGACGGACACAAAAGGGTTGCTGAGGCTTCCCGTCGTTGCACGACACATTGAATCAAAAGGTAAAGGCAAAAATCGTGCAAGGATGCTGCCCATTTTTTAAATATTGGCGTGTCCCTATTCTCCTGCGTCCCAATTCTCCCGCCTCTCCCCTACGTCTGTGCTTCCATCTCATGTCCGACGCCGCTGGCTTAACCTGACCTACGAGTATGTCATGACTTCTAGTTCTGACCTGACCCGACCTATGAGCTTACCTGATCTGATCTGACCTCTGAGCTTACCTGATCTCACCTGACCCGACCTGTGAGCTTACCTGGCCTGATCTGACCTCTGAGCTGACCTCACCTCATATTGTCTCGCCCACAGCGACGTTCCTGGTGTTCCGGATCACCACCATGGGCTGGATGACGCGCTGGCTGGTCGTCAACCGTGACGTGGTGCCGCTGCCCGCCTACACTCTCGGCAGCGTCGGTAAGTGGGCCGTGACTGCCGCGACTCTGCCAGCTTTACCCGTGCAGGGGCAGTGCAATACGTATTCAGATATTTTCTGCACAACATGTGTACCTAAATGATAATCTAAATGTCTTGTCCTGTGAAGAAGTTGTTTTCATTACCCAGCGCACCGCATATTTTCAGTAAAGGCCAAGCGTCAAGGTTGCTTGTTGAGAAATCGATTTTTTTATACATTATCATACTAGGGCTATGCTAGATATCGGGTGTCGGGGGGGGGGGGGGGGGGTCACGCAGTCTCTACGCCCCTCCCCCCCCCCCCCCCACCGGCGACCGCCGATGACACAACGCACAACGCAATGTAGAACTCAATACTTCCTTGGCCGGCTTCATCATGCCTGCTGTACTGTTTTATTCATGCTGCATCTTCGTGTCGGCGAAGAAAACAATAGAAGACAACAACAGCTGAAAACAATAGTGTAACGCGATGCCCAGACTGCCTGGCAAGAAACAAGGACGTGATACGTCACACGCCCCTCTCCGCCGAGTTCTCTGAATCTCCCCCAATTCCTCCACCCCCCCCCCCCTCCACCGTCCACGCTCCACCCGCCACTCCGTGTCCGTTCCGTCTCTCCCTGTGTTTGTGTTGGATGGCCGCTGGCCGGTCCGAATGACTCTATTTCTGTGCCCAGCCTGACGGAACTGGTTTCCGTTGATCCCCGCTCCCCCGGCCGGTATTGACAGAGCCCCGGCTACACGTGCGGTGATGTCAGATTTTTATTTAATGGTGTTGTTCCTGAGACACATGTGCAGCGGGGTGATGAAAGGTGTTTTAGTTTACTTTGAGAATATTAGGTCGAGCATCATGAATGTGATGTTGACTATAGACTGTCGTTTTGTGAATGTGTTTGCCGTACAACACTGAGCCATAGATCGTTGCTTTTTACGGCATTATGCATTATGTGGGATTCTATTGATCTGGGCTGGAGTTTTGTTTGGCCGCCTACCGTGCTCATACTTTATTTACTTTTGTTTGCCGGCTGGGACGCCGGTATTGACAGCCTTACCCCCCCCCCCCCCGCTGTCAGACTGTGCCGAATGACGCCGTGTCGGGGGCGGCTGCCCCTGGGGCACCAGTTCATCGCGTGCGGGGTCCCTGGGTTGACTCAAGGCCCTATATGACTGCCGACTGAATGGTCCAAATTCCACCGCCCGCGACTCAGGCGATGATCAGACCACTGGCTTATATAATCGGACACTCCACTTGGTCATGCGCGCCGAACCCGGTCACCGACGGACCTATGGCGTGGCAACAACTGGTCGATGGGTACTATCTGATTGCGGACCTCTGACAGGCTAACAGCTGGTCAATTTGTACCAGGTGAACTCGGATGGTCAATCATTTGCTCATGATCTTTGGCAAGACCAACTGTCTTGCTAACCCATGAGTCACCCAGTTACCGTATCGTCTAACGACCGACTGGCCATCTCTGACCACTGATGTTACCCTTTCCCCACAGCTCTGGCGACGCTGATGGTGATGAACATCGTCCTCTTCTTCCGCATCCTGTACGCCGACTTCAGGAAGGCCAAGCGCGACGGCTCGGGCGCTGCGACTCGCCCGTCGGCCTCTGGCGGCGGCCCGTCGGACAGGATTCAGTCGACGATTCGCCGCCTGGTCCGGGGCACGGAAGAGGAGGAGGTTTTGAGTGGGAAGACGGACTGAGGTGGGGCTGGGCCTCCCTCCTACCCAGCTGCGGGGAGCGGGTGTCCAGATCTCCGGCGACCCGAGCAGCCAGAGGTGTTTGCCGGTCTGTGTGATGTTACGGAGAGAGGTGTATGTTTTATATGGAGTGTTTTGTCACTGTGTATCAATCACGTCATAATCATGGTAGTTGTCACTGCTGTTGCCCATGTGTATTGACAGGGATCAGTGTTTACCGTAGATCCACGTATCGTGAATCATAATTGTGCGAACCACTCTGACTACTAAGACATGTTGATGTTATATAATGTGTCGATGTCCATTTTGATAATTGATCGCGTAGTTTTTGTCTATTGTTGTATTTAAATGGGTGACCACTATTTATGTTACAATCACTAGCTACTCGTCTACATCGACCCACCTGATTTACACCTTGATTGTAGTCCGTGTAATCTTCTGTCGGCCTGACCGCCTACCAGTCCATAATCGATAGCTTTACAGGCCACTGGTGTCGGTGGCATTCACGCTGCCTCAATGGAATATGATCGTGTACAAACGGGGTCAGTGATTGGCACCGGGCGCTATTTTGAGCTACCGCTGGTGTGTGGATGAATGTGTTGTTCGCTGTGTGCCTGAATGGAGGCGCGGCGGGGCAGAGAGGTGTTACGAAGGAGATTAATGAGTCGCTGCCGCAGTACGAACACCTGTGTGTATGTCTATGTCCGTATCCACGGCAGCTGATGATGGTAGAGGTGGCCGGGTAGTGGGGCCTCTAGTCAGCCAGGTCACAGAGGACCCCGCTAACCTCAGCCACTGCCCAGCAGCCCGTGTTAGTGTGCACCGAGCCTCGTCGGCAGCCCGGGGAGAGGCTATTGGGGTCGTTATTCAGCTGACACGGACTGTGCCTTTGGGCTACGTACATCATTCCTAACCGGGGTTGTCTTTTCCGCCAAAGCTGCTGTAACGCACAATGACCAACAGTGTGCCGATATCAAACCATGTGCTCCAGTTACTACTTTGTTATGACCGGTGCTGTTTTCTTCTGTCGCTCATAGCTAATGTTGTGTTCAGGCGAGATCTGTGTGGTACGTGCAGCATCATATTTGCTGGATCTTTTCCGCGCAGAAATTTAATGTGTCTGTAGAAGCACATCACACGGGTGCCGCTGTCAAGCGTCATGTCGCTTTGATTCGAATGTTGCTGACACGAGCTAGTTCGTTTTCAAATAAGTCCATTTTTGCATCAAAGACCGCCCTCGCCTACGACATATTTTGAGAGTTGTCTGATGAGGCCTCCAGCTTACATGTGCGGCAGTGTTCATAGCCTTCATACATTCGGGTTTTATACGAATCTGGACGTACTGTTGGTGTTGGCCGGCCCGGGACCACTGCTATTGCACCTGATGACATGACCAGTAGCGCCTGTTCAGTATGGACCGTGTGCCCAGCTCGCTGTGTACGACCCCATGATGTAGGTCCGCTGTGCCGGTCCGTCCCAGCGCCCCTGTTGCGGAGTCGCTGGGCTGCGCCCGCCCTCTCCCGCGCAGGTGGCGTCACCGTACCGGGTCTGTGTCTTACGCGCTGCTGTTTGTCGGCCAGTGTTTTTGTAATAAAACCCAATCGAATGATGGACATTTCTTTGGTTAGACTAGAGGCGCAAATCTGGGAGAGAAACAATTGGATAAACAGTCATTGCAGTCCGGTGAAACGGGTGGGAGCGGAGGTCGTGTGATGGGTTCGTGCAAATGTACCTACGCTGTGCAGTGCTTCGGTCATGCTAAGCATCAGTTTTCACAGCTAGCACCCGGAACCGAGTTCATTCGGTCAATTATTCGGGTTCGGGCCTAAATTCTCCAAAAGGCAAAGGGCAACGGGTACCTAGAAGTTTACTCATGAGTACCTAACGCAAATAATATGAGGAACCCTGTCAAAGAAAACAAATCAACAGTTGGCGGTCAATCAGCTGAATGGCCTGCGGCATTTCGTGGCGCTCCGCGGCAATTTTTTTGTGCGAAGTTGAACAACGATATTCATTTTTGTTTTTGAGTGAATGATAGTTGACGGGCCCAAAATAGAAACCAAAAAGTATAATAAACAGCATTTAATCGTGCAAAAATAATAACAGTCAAAGCAATAAATATTTAGAATGCAAACCTTGCTGTCATTTCTTATAACAAAGCGAGGGGAGTGCGCAACTTAGGTGTGGCTTCTGTATTGGTATAGCCATCGGTCTGACATTGTATTTGTAATTCCAGTATTGGGATAGGAAATCGTTATGTGTTGAGCTGCCAAAACAAACATCGCCTTCCAAGAAAATGTCAGAATTTAAGGTGAGTATAGCTTTAAATGTGAGTAGGTGTTCTTAGCAAATTAGGTAGGTACCCGAGTTCCATCTTTGTTTGATTTCAAGTTGTGGTACAACTGGCAGTATCATTGTGGTACAGTGGCAGTGAGGGATTGATGGCTCGCTGCTTGACTGGATCTCATCGTTTCTCTCTCACAGAACGTTACAGGTCGGCGTGATGGACATACTGAGTAGCTCTAAGGTTGTATTAAGTGGAGTCCCTCAGGGATCGGTCCTCGGCCCTCTCCTTTTTCTTGTGTATATCAACCACATAGCCTCTCAACTGTCTTGTAAGCATAAGGTGTTCGCTGATGACTTAAAAATTTATGCATGTACTAGCAGGTTGACTAACGCAGACGATACCAACCCTGTGCAGTCATTGCAATCTGATGTGGACGTTCTAGTGCGCACCTCTGAATCCTGGGGACTGCATCTAAACGCCAGTAAATGCGCCGTGCTAAGATTCTCCAGATCCTCCCGGAACCTAGAACGGGTGCCCCCCACCCCCTATGTCCTTAATGGGAACCCGCTACCCTTTGTCAGCTCACATCCTGACTTAGGGGTTACAGTGGACACATCCTGGAAGTTCCACCTACACATTGAATCCGTCACTCACAAAGTCTCAGGACTCTGCCACAGCTTCCTCAAATCCACAGTGTGTCGCAATCCTGATTTTATGACATTCCTTTTTAAGACCCACGTCAGACCAGTTATTGAATATGGTTCGTGTCTTTGGAACACAGGCTATGTGGAGGATGCTCGGAAACTCGAACGTGTCCAGAGGCAATGGACTAAGCGCGTGGAGTCACTATCAGACTTAACTTATGCAGAGAGACTGAACAGGCTAGGGCTCTACTCTGTACAGGGAAGGCTGACTAGGGCTGACCTCATCCAGTACTGGAAGATTGTGAATGGTCACAGCTGTATAAGTCCAGACTCCATGTTCACTCTAACCGACTGCAGCATCACCAGAGGTCACAGTCGTAAGATTTATGTGACCCGTTCGTGCACTGATGTACGTAAGCGCTTTTTCTCCAAACGATGTGTTAACCTCTGGAACAGCCTCCCTGAATCTGTTGTTACTGCTCCGGACATCCAGTCCTTCAAGAGGGGTCTAGAGCAGCATATCCCTGACAAACTCGTTGAATATTTGTAAAATCGCTCGTTATATTGGTATTCTCTGTATGTATTATCGCTAACATGAAATGTATCTATTGCCTGTCATACTGCAGACACACATTTCCAGTTCTCATTCTTGTGACCTACGTTGCCAAACTGGAACAACTGTGTAGCATGTTTTGAACTGGCATGTCTTGTGAGACAGGGTTCCTATCCTTCCTTACCAGCCCTTTTTCCTAAGACTACCAAGCAAAGGGAACCCAACCAGGCAAGTAAACCAGGTAAGTAATCATATTGCATGATTTTTTTCTGGAATTTTTAGCAGAGAACATAAATATCTACCTGGCTGCATCAGTGGGGCTGAAGGTATGCATGCTTCCCAACTTAACCTGATTGCCAACGGGGCTCTACACCAAAATGTCGCTCGCCACAGGACACAATATTTTGAAGCATGGGACAGCACACTTGGATAATGTCAGCCACCTGGCCCTGCCACTCTCTGCAAGTCCGCAGAGCTAGGGCCGCGACAGCCATTATTCGGCGAGTGGCTAACTGTGGCGAGGTTGGACTGGTGGTTTTTGCTCAATACCTGAGTGAAACGTATTCAAATGTGGTTAATAGAAATGTGCCACTGAAAAGAGTGGTAATGATACCCCCCCCCCCCCAAAAAAAAAACAACATACCAAACACTTATTTTTTAGAAAGATTTTGTGCAATCATATGTTACACATGTGAAATCATATGCTGAAGGGCGGAGCCTGGCATCCAAAGATACCCTACTGCGCATGTGTGGTGCAAAGTTTTGCAGGGTGCGCTGTCCAAACAGGGACCAATTTTGCATTGATTGTGGGACAGTTAGGTACTTGCCCCTGTTATCTTGAAAATAAAGCAACTTAGTGCCAAATGATAAATGGTGCAGGGCTATAAGCTGACAAGGTCTACAATTTTTACTAAGCTAATTCTCAGGTCAAGTCAAAAATGACCTCACAGGGGTCAAAATAGGTAGGTAGGTACTAGGTACTAGGTACTTACATTCCCAGTCAAAATAGTGGCCGTTAAGGTTTAAAGTTTTTTTTTCCAAATACTCTTGAACAAATCAAGCTACAGCAAAACTAACAGTAACATTGAGATTCACTTGTCAATCTGCATGAGATAATATATTTGTTGACCTCAATAGGTCAAGGTCAACATTAGGGTGGCCCTTATTTTCAAACTTTTGATTTTAACCAGCAAAGGCCTGGATTTGGTGTGAAACCACACAATAACACTTTCTGTGGGTTTCACATCAATCGGACATAGTTTAAGAGGCGCCTCAAAGCCACTTCAACCCACACTCTGCTTGCCTATTGCAACGTTTTTGAATCACCGGCACAGCACATAATTTGGGAACCAATAAAACTACAGCAGCATGGAAAAGTGCACTCGGTAACCCTTTTAGCGCTCTTTTCGAAAAGACTTTCAGATTTGACATCAGGTCAAGGGTTTGGCCTCCAGAGGGCCAAAATGTTCCTGCTGCCTGATGCATTACTTTCTTGGCAGCTCTACATCAGAGTTGTAATTTTAGTGCAGTATGTTAGGTACAGCCCACCGCTAAAGTAATGTGTGGTTTTACCAATCTCAACGGATGGCTTGATTGAAAAGAAGGCGTCAATAGATAAAGTTGTAGCTGCAAGGGTGAAGATACATGTAAGCTACATTTAAAGTCTCGTTGGAGTCTGGCTAATCGTTCCTAGGCTTCAGAAGCAGAACATACCCATGACTGAAACCACACATTACTTCTGCTGTGGACTGTACCTACTGCAGTGTCTATACTGCTCCATGCAACATTTTACCTGCACCAGCTTATGAATCTATTCAGCTGGTGAAACTAGTGAATACCTTTAGACCTTGCAGCAGGTAGGTAAGTTGTCGTGGTAAGACATCCTGGACCTGGTCTGTGGCCAATATTTCAAAGCTCTGCACCTACCTTATCACTAATTGGCTCAAGTGAAAGCGCTAAATGAGGGCTCTAAACATGGAATTGTTGTTAGGTGACAGATAAAAATCAAAAGGGTCATTTCAACAAGTAATTTCCAGTGCATTTCCCAGTGCACCCATGCTTTATTTTATTAGGCAGATGCCCCACAATTTTGGTTTTTGAAGGCCTCGCCACGTCACTGTTGTCCTCCTGTTGTGCTTGATAGTCGTGAGTGGTCACTGAGGCATAAACATGGACAGACTGGGTTCAAGCTTAGCCTCAGTGCCATGTAATCTCTGAGGGTTTTTACCAGGCCAAGGCTTCTCTTTGGAGCACCATTTGTTCTGAATGTCATGGTCTATCATGGTGCAGTTGCTTACATAAACATTACCTACCCATTTGCATATTGTGGACGTGCCTGCGCTCGAGATGGCCGCGACAGCTGCAAGACGCACAAAATGTCACCGAAGTGTGGCTCGTTGGGTGGACTGAAGCGAACCCTTGATGTAGGAAACAGCTTCTTACGAATGGGCAGCAAGTGCAAGGCGCCTGTCTCTCCACTGGGACTCTTCCCGCCCATCTATAAATGTTACGAAAATCGTTGTCTGGTGAGGATACCGCCGAGCCATTGCCCACCCTGGTGTCTGCCTCCAGTGACGGCGTCCAGAAGCTTGTGATGGTGTCAAGACGAATCCAAGGCATGAGGAATCCAACAAACTTTTTCGAAGTGGATCACCTCGACACAGACATTTGGCATCTTTGTAACCGCAGGTTGTTTGAAAAGACAAACACTATTCGTTAGATAAAGGGAGCAGAGTCAGTGTAGGCTGTTCCGAGTGGCCCCGTTGCCTGTGACCTTTCGGTCGCCCTTCTGTGCCCGGTGGTAATGTCAGAAGCGGCCCACGGCCGGCGCGTACACCCGTCAGGAGGCCCGCATGGGGCGTGACGTTCACCGATAACCGTGTGAGCCAGCCGGCGGGCCTCTATCAACTGACTCACCGGCGGCCTCGGAGCCAGACGGACCTGGAACGTGACTCAGGAGCTGCACTCCCTGCAGGGCACTCCTTACTTCAGACTCCCCTCTTCTCCCCTCTCTTCCCTCTCTCGGCTCTCCCTCTCTCCCCCACACATTTCCGCTATGTATCGTTGGTGATTGATTGCAGGTCTGTTTGAAAAAAGTATCTGTATTTTGATACAATGGCGTATGCTCCGGCGTTTTCCCTGCGACTGTGAGACCCTGGACCTATTACACCATGGTAGCTCTTGTTGATCCACACATCATTCACGTGACCTGTCTTGTATTGTCGTGTAACGCATACGTGTAACGGTATGTCACCTGTTTTCAACCCTATCAACCATCACACACGTCGCTCGTTTCGCGTGTGTTGTACGCACGCGTTACACCTTCTCCCATCTCCGTCCCGTTTCGGCGGCGCCAGATGTCCTTGACAGTCGGTGCGCCCTTAAGCCCGAGTAAACAACAGCGTTCCGTTTCGGCAGGCGACTGCGCTGTACGACTTTGAGCCCCAGCCGGATACGAGTGAGATCCGCCTGCGTGCCGGTGAGCTGCTCACCATCACACGCACCGACGTCGGAGAGGGATGGTGGGAGGGTGTCAACGAGAGCCAGCAGTGCGGCCTCTTCCCGGAGGCCTACTGTGAGGTGAGTACCGGCGAGATGTGAGTCTAACTAGAGGCGCTCATGGTGAGTGTGGGTGAGCAGTGGTGAGATGCGGTGCGAGAGTCGCTCTTGGTGAGATGAAGTCTGATGTTTTTTACGTAATCGATATCTAAAAAGTTCTCAGTCATTTTACAAACAGAGAAGGAAGCTGTATTAAGTCGTATCGTAACTATCGCTAATATTGAGTTTTCCTCTTAATGTCCTATTTTTTCTCCGCCTGATATTGATTGATGTGCCCTGTTTCCGGTTTTCAGCGGGTGGCAGTGTCTCCGCCACCTCCCCCGGTGGCCCCGCCAGCTGCACTGCCAATCGCGCCGCCAGTCGTCCCGCCGGCTGCCCCTGGCTGGTCGGTTCCCACACCAACAGCCACCACCCCGGCCGCCTCGCGCAACTCCTGGACCGACCCGTGGAAGGAGCCGACGCCGGCCGACCCATGGAGCACCGATCGGGAAAAGGTCAGTGCGCGACGGTCAAGTCACGTCAGGGCGAGACTGCTGAAACAAACCAGGCAAATCAATGGCAAATTGACTGGAATGAGTTCAGTGCGCGAGTGTCGGCTCAGGTCACGCTAGTATTTACTAAGAGAATGCTAGCATGGTTAACGATTGGGGTAGAGTCTTGTCTGAGTGTTAGGTAACTGATTTAGCTGAACTTTTATAGTGGTGATGGTCGATTTACCATATCGTTCCGTTCCCGATGTGCCGCTTTTCTTCACGTGCAACACTAAACTGATTTCTCTCTCGCAGTAGCCTTCGTTTTATCTAGTTTCGCATATCGTCTCTTCGTTTTTATTTTGTCATGCTACGCTATATCCCACGTATCTCTTCCTTCTGACGGCTACGTGTGCCCTCAGATGCCCCCTCCGGCGGCGCCCGTCCCCGGCGGCCGGCCGAGCAGCGTGACCAACGCGGACGACTGGGACGATGATTGGGACGACGACAGTGACGCCGACACCCAGGTGGGCGGGCCGGCCGGTGGCGGGGAGGCGGCCCGTCACCTGGCCGTCCGCGGCAGCGCCGGCGACGTCAGCAACTCAGGTCAGTCGCCGGTAACATGAGCAACTGGGGTTAGTCGCCGGTGATATCAGCATTTCAGGTCATTCATCGGTGCAGATGTCAGCTACTCGGGTCAGTCGCCGGCGGATGAACGACGCAGCTGAGAATGAGCGCTCCACAGTACAGCAGGCTTAACAGGCGTTTTTATTCCCAGTTTAGTCTGCATACTGAGTTCAGCCCCCTTTACACTTGCCGTCCAAAGGAAAAACCCATTACGTGCTCATTTTCGGCTCGAGTAAATTTTTCAGGAGAGCCGTTTTTCTGTTTCGCTTAACTATAGCCTCTTAGAACCGGTTTTTAGCTTTATTTTTGGTTATGCATATAAAATAAATAATTCTACATCAATCTACTACGTTATTATTCAAAAATTATATTTCTTTTGATATATATGACCAGGAATGGGTTTTGACGCACGTAAGCTAGCATGGCAAAACCCATCAAAAGACAGTAATGGGTTCTGACACCTTTAGGGCAGCTTGGCAAAACCCATCAGAAGCCCTAAATCATGGCTAAACCCACTATATCCACCCCGTCACCAGTGGCAAAACCCACTAGGTAGGTATATCGCCTGCAAAACAGCTGATCAGACCGCCTGATGTGAGTGTCTAGTGAGATCCGAATCGCTTATCAATAAATCTTCTTGCAACAGGATTAATCAGAATGGTACCTATTGTGCTTCGCTTTATGTAGGCTAACCAAAACCTAACCTAAGCAAACCAAGGCCAGGCCTGTGGCCAGGCTCGAAGAACTTCAGGGTGATGCTCTGCGTGCTGGTGGAGGGGCAGTTGATCGCCGTCATGAGGGTCGTCATCAACACCCATGACTTGTTCTGTGACGCACAATTGTCCAGCCACAAGACAACGTGCGGGATGTTGCGGCACACTGTTGTTAAAAACAGGTAAAAGGCGGCAGCTACCTCTGCGCCGCTCCGCCCAGCCAGGCCGTCATGCCACAGGATGCATGTGGCAGACTTGTGCTGATTTACTTTCTTCGAGCCGCGCTTTGACGGCATGAGGGGCGCGAAGGTCTCATTGTAGCAAGTGAGACGTGGCGTAAACAGTGCTTCCTTTATAGGCAGCTGCGGAATCATGCAGACCTTCATCATGTCGGTAGACATATACACCGTGCATGGATCGTGCTCCTTTTCGGCATCTTCACGATACGCCTCCCTCGCCTCCTTTGCGTTGTCCATGTGTCTCTTGTGCTCATCACACTCCTTGCACCCTTGCTGGTGGAATCTCGGTTCATCTTCGGTCTCTCCATGTTCTTTTTCCGTGTGTTGGAGCTGAAGCGAGCAGCGGGAACGCTCTTCACCGGCCAGTTTGGTAAAAGAAATGTTCATACTTCGGACCACTTTTCGGTACGTCTCGAAGCTGCACTTGAGAACACCCTCCTGGAGCAGGTAGTCGTGGTGCATTTTAGCTACTGTTAGATCCTGAGGTAGGTAAAATCGGTTGGGCGCGTGTTCGTACCTATAATGATGTTTGATAGGATGGAACTTGTTGATGTGGTCTTTGATGATTTGCACGTCCAGCTTGTTTCCCGCGGGTCTCTCACCTCGCTTGTCCTTTTTAGGACAAATGTCACCATCTTCAACCGCCCACACCACTGCGTCTGCACTTGTTTGGCCGAATCCCAGCGTCGTCAAAAAGAAGCCCTTGCAGACTGGTATGGGGCAGTGTCCAGCGCCAGCTTCTCCGGGCAGTGTCCAACTGTAAGTGTTGTTTTTTCGGTTTCCTCCTGATGTTGTTCTGCGGTTGCTCACCTTTTTCACGCTCACATAGGATCTGCACCATTGGCGACGTGCTGAGGGGTCCTGGCTGTTCACCGTGTCGTTGATGCTTCTGCGACGGGCTTCACTGAAGTTTGTGGTGCAGTGTTTCTTGCATCCTTTGACGCAGTCAGCAGGCGCCGCTTTGATCTGATGTTTTGTTTGAAAATTCTGGACCTGTTCCTGCGTAGTCCTGGCTCTTTTCTTGGGTGCGGGGGAGCTTTCCATCGTGCCAGGCGCGCTACTTGTTTCGCCTCGGGATGTCTCAGCCAGTATGGGAGTCAGCTGCTCCTCAAGACAGGAATGCAGCAGATCTTCCCCAAAACCCGTGGACGTCTCATCGATGGAAGGGGTGCATCGACTGACTGGGGCGAAGATTGGACCCAGAGGAGACACTTCTTCCAAAAGCAAGCGTTCAGCATCTGAAAACGACGGGCTCCCGAGGACAACCATATACGGCTCGGTACTCACTGGAAAACCCGAGACCGGACTCTGAGGGCAGACTATATCCGGCTCTGTGCTCCCCAAGACCGGAGCCAATGGAGTCCAAGGGCGGGACATCTCCGGCTCCAGATCCCCGGTGCGCGGCGTCTCCTCCTGGGCCGGGCTCTCGGGGCGCGGCGTCTCCTCCTGGGCCGGGCTCTCGAGGCGCGCCGTCTCCTCCTGGGCCGGGCTCTCGGGGCGCGGCGTCTCCTCCTGGGCCGGGCTCTCGAGGCGCGCCGTCTCCTCCTGGGCCGGGCTCTCGGGGCGCGGCGTCTCCTCCTGGGCCGGGCTCCCGGGGCGCGGCGTCTCCTCCTGGTCCAGGCTCCCGGGGCGCGGCGTCTCCTCCTGGGCCGGGCTCTCGGGGCGCGGCGTCTCCTCCTGGGCCGGGCTCTCGAGGCGCGCCGTCTCCTCCTGGGCCGGGCTCTCGGGGCGCGGCGTCTCCTCCTGGGTCGGGCTCCCGGGGCGCGGCGTCTCCTCCTGGTCCAGGCTCCCGGGGCACGGCGTCTCCTCCTGGTCCAGGCTCCCGGGGCGCGGCGTCTCCTCCTGGGCCGGGCTCTCGGGGCGCGGCGTCTCCTCCTGGGCCGGGCTCTCGAGGCGCGCCGTCTCCTCCTGGGCCGGGCTCTCGGGGCGCGGCGTCTCCTCCTGGGCCGGGCTCCCGGGGCGCGGCGTCTCCTCCTGGTCCAGGCTCCCGGGGCGCGGCGTCTCCTCCTGGTCCAGGCTCCCGGGGCGCGGCGTCTCCTCCTGGGCCGGGCTCTCGGGGCGCGGCGTCTCCTCCTGGGCCGGGCTCTCGGGACGCGGCGTCTCATCCTGGGCCGGGCTCTCGGGGCGCGGCGTCTCTCTCCATTACGTATGACCAGTTCGGCAAAACCCATCACGTATGCCATTCAGGCTCATGTCAAAACCCATTACGTGGTGAAAAGTTTGGCAAAACCCATCACTTATGCGTCGTGGACTCAAGTCAAAACCCATCACGTGGCACGTAATGGCTTTTGACACAACAACAGGGGTATCCAAAGCCGACATAGAACCATTACGTGTGTTTTTTAAAGACACGTGATGGCTTTTGCCAAGCTTTGTTCATTTTTTAAGCTGCACGTAATGACTTTCAGAGACGTGATGGCTTTTGCTCTTAGTGAAAGTGAAAGAAACAGCGAACGTAATGGTTTTTTCCGTTGAGGTGAGACGTGATGGGTTCTGCCACTCCCATCGTGCATCCAAATTAAACGTGATGAATTTTGGAAACGTTTTTTTAGAATAACGTTTTCAAATTTTAGAATTTTTGAATTTCGATCCCACCAGCAGATGCGCCTTAAACAGACGAACAAAATGGTATAAAAAACCGAAAATGGCCAAAAATCGACGTAATGGGTTTTTCCTTTCCAGTTTAGTCTGCATACTGAGTTCAGCCCCCTTTACAGTTTGCAGTCAGCTGGTTGGCCCTCTTATGGATCTTCATAGAATCATGATACAGCATGCAGTTCGTCTCTCTTGTCCCCAGTGTATACTGTATACACCCTTTTTGGGCTGTCTGCTCTGTGACTGACCCAGCCAGTCGTCTGAGCAGTTCCCAGTCGATTACCTCTCTTTGGCCTCAAACAAATCAGCGCTGGCCTCCTCAGGCTCCATCAATATCGACCCCCACCACCCCCGGATGTGAAGGATAAAATGACATCAATTAGAATAAAGGACATGGTCTAATTGATCCGTCCGTTGAGATATCCGGCATTGTTGAGCTACCATGCCCGGAACTCTGCCCTGCAATGAACTGATAGCAGTTAGACAGTGCGTGCCGTCTCAGTGATCTTATCACGCTATCGGTCGAGTACTGTTTACTGTGCAAGGACGTTTTGTCCCTCGGCTCCGTTAGTGAGACGACATTGCTGCATGTCAACAAGGCTGGAGAGGTGTCTGTTTTTAGACATTTGATCTTGTGCACTACAAGGCAATGCTGACGACAAACGATGAATAGTGCAAAGAATGCCGTAAACAACAGTTGAGATTTTTACACCGTTTGTAAACGGGCAAATCTTTCCCTTCCTCCCCCCTCCCCTCCCCACCTCACACAACAAGAGTTTATAAAAATAATCTGCACATTTGTTCACCGGGTTTCTTTTATTTTCACTGCGTTAATATGTCCGTTGTTTCTGTCAGCGCTTTCGGTCGGAAAACATAAAACAGCGGTTATAATAGGTAGCATATGTTATTTTCAACGGCTTACGTTCCTCCCTCAGGTCGGGGTGACGGCAAGGCCACGGTGAAGCGCAACCTGAACCGGTTCTCGACGTTCGTCAAGTCCGGCGGCGAGGACTACATCCTGGGCGTGTCCAAGATACACGTCTCCGACGCCGACCTCATCACCATCACGGTAAGGAGCCGCTGCGGGCTCGTCTGGGTGGCGCGGGGAGCGGTCGTGGGATATCGAGAATCGGACCTCCGTTTGATCGAAGGCTTGGTTATTGCAAGATTCTCAGGCTTCGGGCTCAGATATTTTGCCTACTTTAACAACTTACTCAGGAAAATGCACTGCAGATGCTTGTTTGAACAAATAAACTCCCGCCCCTACAGGAGACTGAGCACGGTTACGAGTGGGACAGCTTCACACCGTACACGTGCACCGTCACTTCGCCCAAGAAGGAGACCAAGATGAAGGGCCTGAAGAGCTTCATCGCCTACCAGCTAGTGCCTTCATTCAGCAATATCCAGGTAAGTGGAACTGAAAGGGCTTTTAGAAGGATGATCGCTGCTGAGATACAATTTAAATTCAAGGCGAGTTATGACGAAAGATGTGGTGGCGCAGGCTTCAGATGCCTTAACCCTCGCCCATGAGGGGGGGGGGGGTTGGTGCAACCCCCCCTGAGGTTTTTCTTAGCTACACGCCGAACCGTTTCAGATAGCCTGCTCAAATTTTCAGTACTCTTTGGGGCATCCTTTGCGCAACTTTTGGTAAAATTTTTTTGTCAAGGTCATGTCAGGTCACGGAGTTATGACGTCATAAAGGGAACAACCTCCGGCCAGATTTACGCTAAATTGGAGATTGCTTCACATTGGTATAAATGCCGACTGACCTGACACACTGATGGATTGTTTTAGAATCACAACTGGCTGATTTGACATTGGCACAATGTCCGTTGACATTTTGAAGGTTACTAAAGGTCAAGGTAAGGTCAGTGACCTCGGTTGACCTGTAATGACTTCTTGCACTTGTATGCCTTTTCGGGGTATTTTGATGCCCTGAATTCGAATTTGCTATCCATTTCAGGCATCGTCGGTTGTTTCTTGTAGTTCATTTTGGGTCAGGGTCAGGTCAGTGACGTCACACGCCTGACGTGACCCAATGCACAAATGACCTTGCAGACTTCCGATGCTCCCAACGCATCATTTTTAGAGTTATGACATCGAAATATTCACCAAACGATAGAGAATTGATCAAGGATCACTGAAGGTTTCAAGTCGATATCTCTTACCGTTTTGCCGCAATCGGTGCGGAAATCTGAAAAAGTTAGATTTTTCCGAAATTTGACCTTTGACCGGTCATAAGTAGGTCAAATGTTGACCAAGGACCAAAAAATATACCACCAATCGCGAGATCTCGTTGAGAGCAATCCGTTGGTCTTTTCCGCTAAGCTCTACGACGCTCCGTTTTCAAACGCCTGGGGGGGGGGGGGGGGTCGCACCAACATGGGCGAAGGTGGCAAAACACCGTTTACGGGCGAGGGTTAAGTCAAAGTACGCATGTTGTTGGTATATTGGAAGTATCCAGTGTCCTGTGAAACCTCTCATCATTTTTTCTGTTCGCGATCGAAAGCATTTTGTCAACCCATCATGCCCCGCATTTAATTACGGTAGGTACTGCGTTTACTTGGGTAGTTAGGCCTCGGTGACCAGTTCACTTCTCCCGAGAGTCCCTCTGACACTCCTGTCACCGTGCCCGCCCAGGTGTCCCGGCGGTACAAGCACTTTGACTGGCTGCACGACCGTCTGGAGGAGAAGTTCACACTGATCCCTGTGGCGCCGCTGCCAGACAAACAGGTGACGGGGAGATATGAGGAGGACTTCATCGAGCACCGGATGATGATGCTGCAGCAGTGGGTGAACAGGATCTGCCGCCACCCCGTGCTCAGCCGCTGCGAGGTGAGTGGGGAGGGGGGAGGAGTGGAGTGGCTCGGGGTAGAAAGAAATAATTGGGGCTTGATGGCGCTGCTCGTGGTGTATTCATTACTGTGATTTGATGATTTTCGAGTTAAGGCGACTCGAGGGAGGGGGCTACCAGAAAATCGTAGTGGACTTCATTCGCTGAGAAAAGCACGAGGTAGCGCAGCTCGTGTGGTGGGTAAAGGGAGATTGCTGGGTCATCGCACGTTTCAGTTTCACTCTGGCCTCTCTTTGGCCTTCGACTATCTATCCTCACCCAATTTCCTGGCATAATTACATGTAAGTGCCTCTGTGTGTCTATTCATGTGGGTGTTCTTATGCCTCTCATGATTTGACCCGAGTTCAATCGTCGCCAGGTATGGAACCACTTCCTGACGTGCACTGACGAGAAACAGTGGAAGACGGGGAAGCGGCGAGCTGAGAAGGACGAACTGGTCGGCGCCAACTTCTTCATGGCGCTCAAGGTGCCCGATAAGCCGCTGATGCAGGGACAGATGTAAGTTCACAGGTGGCTGGTGGAGGGTGGAGAAGGACAGATGCGGGTAGAGACGGACTCATTGGTTCGTCTTTGATTGTTGGCAAAGTAGCACATTTTGGCTGATTGTCGTACACGTGGAAAGTTTTTTTTTTTACTTGACGTTTAGATATGGCAAATAAAGTGGCGAGTTGATTAACCCTAGTCACTCTTTCTGGCGCTAAAACTAGCTGGCATCTGTATCGCCTCATAAATTTTAACTACCCGGTCTGACGGTCTGACGTTAATCACCCACTCCTCCCTCCTCTGACAGTGAGACGGAGATCGACAACTTCTCCAAGTTCAGCCAGAGCATGGACGCGGCGGTGAAGCTGCTGCAGACCATCTCCGTCGATCAGATCAAGAAGCACCAGGGGCCCTACAAGCGCGAGTTCCAGAAGATCTCGCACGGCTTCAAGGCACTCTCACAGGCGTTCGGCAGCGACACACAGGCGTGTGAGTTGCTGGGGGACGCCTGTCGGCATCGCCCGTTCAACACCACTGCTGACTATGCCATGCTCTTCTGTGTTCGGACGGATGACTCCTGGCTAAAACGCCATTCACCACATTCACTACTTCACGTCCTCACCTGGGCACAATTTTAGACCATATCAGAACCCCAACGGCCCACGCAGCCTCTGCCTGACTGACCCCTTGCCTTCTTTTGAGTGTCACCTGACAGCTACAGTGCCTTCTCCCAGTCCTCTTAAAGCCTGAAACTGCCCTCTCGCTCATATTACACCTAGTATCCATCTACGCCAGCTGCTGTGAGTTGTTTTTAACCACCCACCCACGCTGACCAGCTACTCCGTTCGTCATCTGACACATGCTACCCGTGCCGCCATTCGACTCTATTGTCCTGATGGAGGATATGTGGCATATAACCACCACCTTACCCCCGCCAACACTAACCCTAACCCTCGCCCCGTCAGACTCTCCGGCGCTGACCCAGGCGGTCGGACACACGGCAGCAGTGTACCAGGAGGTGGGTCAGCTGTACGAAGACCAGCCCCGCTACGACTGGGAGCGCTTCAACGACCTGCTACACGAGTACCGCGGCATGCTCACCAGCTTCCCAGACATGTTCAACATGCATAAGGTAGGTTGGAGGACGCAGAGGGTGGCGCGGTGGAGTGAGGGGCGGGGTGGAACGCTGAGGCAGGCCGGGTGGGTGAACAGAGCATGGATGATTGGTGGTGAAACAAGATATTTATGTGCTGACGTGGACGGAATTTGGGGACTCCGATGAGACCATGATGAAGGTGTGTGCTGTAAGAGTGCGACAATGTACGATGTTTGATAGTACGCAGTTAACTCATCTGCAGTATGTATCGAGCGAGAGCCGTGAGGGGGAGTAGCGGTTGCAATGATTTTGCGATCCGCCTGCCTCCCCTAGGACTCCTGACATGGAAGTAACGCTGCGGAACTGAAAGTGGGCGTGGGGGTTTTGCACTGATGCACCCCTACGGCAAGCGGTGACCACGTTCTGCTTACTAGATAGCAGTCATGCTATTTCAGACCAGCGTGTGACGTTATTTCTTTGCGGGGACTCGAGACGCAATAGTTTTTTGACCCATTAGTTTTTGCTAACCATCCCTGTCTAACTTTTTCTTTTAATCATTTCAGGGAACAAAACGTATCCCGCCAACCACCCACTGCTGTACATACACTATTCCGTCCCTATTGGTGCATTGGTGGATGGGATTTCTAAAAATGCTGGGTATTAAGGCGTATATACATCACCGCTGGCAACGGTAAAGGCGTCCAGTCATTGTACGCTACCCTATGTCTAACTTTGTCCTCAGGGAGCGATGCAGAAACGAAAGGAGTACAGTCGGTACGGTGCAGAGGGGAAGCTGAGTGACGACGAGGTACAACAGGTGGGCCGGCGCACGGACGTCGTCTCCTACGCACTGATGGCCGAGATGAGCCACTTCCAGAAGGAGCGCGTGGCTGACTTCACAGAGGCCATGCGGGGCTTCCTGCGCAACCAGGTCTCCTTCTACAGACAGGTGAGGGTGGTGATGGGGGCTGTGGAACAGTTGGGTGCTATGGACGGACTGTAATCACATACGCCAGGGCTAGTTTCAGTGTCGCTGTAATTAAGAATACGTGTTTAGTGGGGATACCGCCGCGATGTCCTCTGGTTTCGTTCACATACGTCGGCGACATTGATTAGTTGAAAAGTCAGCCATGGATATAGATAGGATAGAGATGTTGGACCAGAATGGAGTGGTGAGGAAGGCGCCATGCACTGATTTGAGCCCCTCTGTGGCGAGTGTCTGTAATTAGACAGATCGACTGATAATCTGGCGCACTGATGGCAAGGCTAGCCGGAGCCGGCTGATCTTGCCCTTGTGTATAAGGTAAAGGAACCCCGCACCCGTGTCTCGCTGCCAAGATACGGAGGACGAGTTAGAAACCCGGTGCCTCGATGTTAAAACACCATAGTCGCTTCTCTCAACATCCTGCTAAGAGTTATCGCATTTATAAGCCACTGACACGGCTCGTCGCATAGGAAAATGCTCGCCTTCTCAGAATCACTGTCCCGCCAGTCAGGCGGTGACCCGACATATCCTCGCTAGTGCCCCGCAGCCCCGGGCGCGGCGTACCAGCAGCCAATCGCCGGGCCGCCTGATCTTGCGGGTCACCGGCCAGATATGTCCTCCGGCGCCACTTAACCTCGGCGGCCGGTCCGCGCCCTGGGGATGATCTAATGCAGCCTTTAGAAACGAGGGAGGTGTTATGGGTGGCTGTGTATTCTGTCAACATAGCCGCAGGGCAACATAGTTGAAAACGGGACATGCTTATTTTGTTCTTTTGGGAGGGAAGGGCTTCCACTGCGTCTTGAACGTCTAAGATACTGATATTGCTCTTTTTGTCGATGTCTTTGTGGTGGGATATAGTCTGTGTATTTGTGTAATGTTGTCTCATATCGATCACATCGACACTATTTCTGACGTGCGCTCCATCTCCCCCGTCAGATTGCCGACAAGTTGGAGGAGTCGCTGCAAACCTATGAGAACATCCAGTCATAGGGTCAGTCCTCGCTCGAGCTGCGGCGATCACCGTGGCACAGTCACAACCCAGCTACAAACGGATGGCGGTAGGTGGGAGCTCGTACCGCCAGCGGGCGCGCGGGACTCGGCCGGCGCCGCGCTATGCGGATCATGACTGACGGCTGGAGAAGGCACTGTCCTCTGTCCGCACTGGAGAAATGATTGGTGTCCCGCAGAATCGTGCGGCAATGATACAAACCTCACCCGTGAGAGAAGCGTGTAATCGTGGCTCGATTTTGGTGTAATCGTCCAGATTCTATTTAGTGATGTTTATCTGCGCGCTGCTCGACTGCTGATCGGCGCGAGAGGCTGGTGGAACCGGGAGTCTGCCTTCAGTGTACCCGACGAAACGGTCAGCTTGCAGTCTATTTTGTGATACGTGGTTTTGCCCGAGCGCGCTGTATGAGGTCCTTATGTTAGCTATTGGCTGGGCAGGCTCCTACGCATATGTTCGCCAGCGCTTTGCCTTGTGCGTCGGTGATGCCTTTGTACCCGCCCGGGTGGGGTACCGGGACCGAGGTGCGGGCCTCTCGGTACCGCTCAGGAGGACCCAGGTACCCGCTGGTACCGTGCCTGGGCACTCGGTGGTACTGTACCGAGGTACCGCTCGTACCGTGCGGCCTGCACCGATTCCGCACGTCGCTGAACCGATGAAGACCAATATATTTACACGAAATCCGAAAACATTGCTCTTTTATAGAGGTAACTGATTTGCTCAATATGCCTCATAGTCTATATCTATCCACCAGCAATGCGTAGGTAGGGGAGAGTGGGGCAAAGCGGCCACCCTAACGCTTCTCACGATGCCAACGCTTGATTTTTAAACTTGGAAAGATTCTTTCTATACCAATGTGATCCCTATTAAGTTGCCTTTTATTTCAACTGCGTTTTATTTCCAACGGCGTTCGCATATGAAAGATATTGACAAAACTTTAAACCTATGCATATTGGCCACTTTGCCCCATACCCTGGGGCAAAGCGGCCACCGGCGTCTTCTCAAGTCCCGACATGAGAAACAAAATAGTTGCCTCGTGTACGACTAGGGTATTTGATGGTGACAAGGTTAAGCGAAGATGGATGTTTACTTTATCATCTTCCATCTGTAGGTAAACAAAGAAAGGATTTTCATGAAAAAAAAACATTTAATTGCATTATTTGGTAACTCATGCAACTGAAAAGTTGCCAAGATGAATGCATGACGACACATTTGAATATAAATAATGTTTTTTATCCAGATGGAAGCAGCTTATGGCCAATTGGGGGGTGGCTACTTTGCCCCGGCCACTTTGCCCCGCGCATACCGTCCGAGACAAAAATATTCCAGCTTAGCTATTAGTGGGGTAAAAAACATTAAAATTGGTAGAATACATGTACGATAACCATGCAATGCATGGACAAGAACGCTTATAAAAATTCCAAACGTTTATGGAATAACATAACATTTAAAAATTGTAAACATAGTTGGTAACCTGGCAAAAAATGCTTTTCCGTGTTTCACAGAACAATGGTGATGGGCCTGAAACCCCGGTCTGGCTCATTCGAACGACCGTGAAGAGAAGTATAATTGGAAACCATAAATTGGAACTGACGCCAGCTATGAAGGGCTAAAACGATGGGTGGCCGCTTTGCCCCGGGTGGCCGCTTTGCCCCACTCTCCCCTACTTGTATTCATTCGGAGTAATAAGGACTCTTGGGGGTTCAATTTGCAGAGGACAATTACCAAGAGGACACAAAATGAAACTCAAAAGTATGATAACCAAAACCAAGAAGTGCTGAAAAAATGCACCAAATAAAAGTTAGAAAGTATGCTACCCTGTCTTGATACTTGACTCTCGTTGATTGAAGTTTACCTCAGCTTGCAAAGTTACAGTGGATTAGGGTTGTGTGTGGCCTTTTTCAGGCGGCGGTTTGCCGGATCTGTAGTACGAAGTCTGACGCCAGATGGCTGGACATGTTCTGTTTTTCCGCAGCTCTTGTCCAGCACTGTCGGAAGCAATGCACATTTTCTGAGGGCGTCATTGGTGAAGTCATGTCAGATGTCACATTGCTGTTACCTACCACTGGCGCTGTTCCTCTGCAAAACCTTATTATTGGGAAGTGTTGGCACTGTCCGAGGATTCCGCGTTATATTTTCGCTCATTTTCGCGCACTAACCTCGAGAAGTGTGCACATTTGTGGACTTTACAAGAGCTTCACTTGGATTAACCTGTCCCTGTTGTCCATCCTCAGGACAGTCAAATTTGCCTCCATGCCTCTGTCCTCCTGATCCAAGCTGTGCGGTCTCATTCATTCGACGTGAGTAGCTCCTCTCGGGGCAGGCTCCTGTGCGGTGGGGTGACGTTTGCGGGGCTGGTTGGCCTGTCTATCGAGACGGCCTCAGCCCGATAGCACGCCATGGTGGTCGCCCAGATCAGTGTCCCCCTAACCATTTGCTATCATCCTTTCGGCTCTGAGAAGGTCTGCTTAGAACGAAAAGGTCTTATCATGCACACAATACATGGCCATTTACATAGCGCCTTCTCGTGGAGTGTATTTTGTTTCCTCTGAGCTCCTGATCCATGACGTTTAACTGGTTCCAAAAATGTAATTAATGTTCGGTTAGCGAATTTGTCCCCAGTGACCTCAGCGCTGCCCTGAGAGCAAATGACCTGTGTAGTGTGTATCCAACGGAAATTACTTTTAGATTTGTGAAGTGCTTTTCCGCGTTATATTTCGCTTTTTTAGATAACCGGATGTTGTTAGAAAGGCCAATTAAGTTGACACTCATTAGTTGACTGAATGAACTGAAGGAATGAAGTTGACTGACATAAGCCGGTGCGTGGGTTAAAAGTCAGAACATGCTACGTTTCGTTATTTCTGGATGACCTTCATTAGGGCTAAATTTCGCTCGTTAGGCAGGATGTGCAAATTTGCTCGAAAATAGGCAAAACTCAAGCTTCGTGTCACAATCTATTGGTGCCTACACATATCCACATCTGTAATTGTATCCAGCTGCATACATGAAAATTATAGTCCACAGATGCACGGCGAAGGGCATCTAACCCACGAAGGCGGCGGCGTTGGTATGACGAGGCATGACGTGTCCTGTTTCCACCGTTGTTCGGCGCCACGACTTCCGGTCAGCCCCCTGAATGCTGCAGCACGGCTGTTAGATTCTAATGGGGCCAAATCATTTGTTCTGAGTCGTTAGGCCCATTATACGGCACATGTAGCTGATGTAACTGTGCAGCTCGTTACGTGTGCCACCCGCGCGCCAGCCTCGGCGCAGCCTCTGAAAGCCTGGGTGGTGTCGGAGTTTGCATGATTTGTTACTTTTGCAGATAATGTTTTCAGAGTAATCCATCTGGTAAGTTGTAGGTTATTCATCTGGCAATCAGCTGTAACATGGGCCTTGAGAGCAGATGCCGGTGATTTATCGGGGGTACTTTACCGCCCACAGTATTGTACATTTGGCAGATACGAAAATGAATGAAATAAACGCTCCGGCGGTGATCAGGGAGGGCATAAACCACACACAATAGGAGGTCAGACGGACGGTGATCTGCATTTTATGCGGCCCATAACGAGGCTTAACCGCTCGTTTCAGATTGTCATAAAATATTGATAGTCCACACAGGGCTGGCTCGCGTTTCCTGCGTTAATTGCTGTTTATATTCTATCTTCACATCGTGGTGTTGTTGCAGTTGCAGTCCCGCCGGCCCAGGTCAGGTCACGAAAACCGTCCGTAGTCAGGGTCAGTTCAGGCCCACCTCGCCGTTGTGTGCTGCTTTTTATAAATTGCACAGATGTGCTAAGCCATTTACTTCTCTTTGTGTGTGGGGTCAGTTGAAAAATGGTGCATTCCTCTCAATCACCCGAGTGGAATAATAAGCGAAATGAGGACTCGGACGGACTTCGCAAAAACAAGTTCTTACTTTTAAGAACGGTGCATTGCGAACTTCAGTGATTAACTTCAACAAGCAGCAAATTACCTTTATCATTATATGTCCATTGACGTGTTGGACACAGCTTGGATGGATAATGGACATGCTCATTGCTCAGTGCTCATTGTTCGTATGTAAGGCTGATCCTGCAACAACACCAAAGAAAAAACTGGTACGCGACGCATGATAACATTTTTATTTCAAACGGCCAAGGTATTTTATTGTATCGCATTCAATCTTTTTTCTTGTGAAACTCGATTTAGGGAGGATTCGAGGCTTCGCCTATCCCATGCAGTCGATAACGGGCTTGGTGAATAGCAGTTTCAGACAATCACGTGTTGTGTAGATTATATATTACTGACCGGGCCGACGAAATTATTTGGAAACGAGGTTTGCAAAATTGACGGAGGCCCGAGTGCGGAGCACGAGGGCCGGAGTCAAATTTTGCAAGCCGAGTTTCCAAATAATTTCGTACGGCTGAGGTCAGTAAGATTTTTCCTACATGCCGCATACCTGTTAAGCAGTTTCGACAGGTTTTGGTGACACTTTTATACAATTGTTTTGTCCATAATTTCCTAACAGTGATTGCGCTACTGCTGTTGATAAAGTTTTAAAGAAAATTGATAGAAAAAATGCATCAAAACTCCTTACTTCAAAAAGAATCGCGTCTGAAAACATCAACTCGAATGGCACAACAAGTTGATATCGGCAAGGAACATAATAGGTACCTACATGAATGATTTGCCACGACATAAGAACAAGAAGAAAGTAGGTATAATATTCCTAGTGATTAAACGTGAATTTTCCAGTGCTCTTGCAAGAATCTTTCCTTTATTCATGTAATCGTACTTTGTTGATGCCCTATGGCTAAACTTCGTGAAATACATTATATTTTCCATATTTTCCATGTTTTTTTTCGAGGAAAGGACTACAAACTTTTGAACAAAAATATTTCAAACCCCTTGATGAGCAGAGCAGATATTGTTTACCAAAAAGGCTAGTTTTCTAATTTTACAAGGCAAATATCATGCAATAATGATGTCAATTATACACTCCCTTTCCTACATGCCGGGGTATGTCTTAAGCACAGCACGAGCCGGGCAGTAAAACTATGACCAAGAAACTGTCGGTGTCAAAATGCCATGTTATTTGATAGGCCGGGCAGTAAACAAAAGTTTACTGCCCGGGTTTACTGCCCAGGGCAATGACCTCTGAACTTTTGTTTATCGCATTAGCCCAGAGGTATAATTGACAGGGAGTGTATAATTGACATCATTATTGCATGATATTTGCCTTGTAAAATTAGAAAACTAGCCTTTTTGGTAAACAATATCTGCTCTGCTCATCAAGGGGTTTGAAATATTTTTGTTCAAAAGTTTGTAGTCCTTTCCTCGAAAAAAAAAACATGGAAAATATGGAAAATATAATGTATTTCACGAAGTTTAGCCATAGGGCATCAACAAAGTACGATTACATGAATAAAGGAAAGATTCTTGCAAGAGCACTGGAAAATTCACGTTTAATCACTAGGAATATTATACCTACTTTCTTCTTGTTCTTATGTCGTGGCAAATCATTCATGTAGGTACCTATTATGTTCCTTGCCGATATCAACTTGTTGTGCCATTCGAGTTGATGTTTTCAGACGCGATTCTTTTTGAAGTAAGGAGTTTTGATGCATTTTTTCTATCAATTTTCTTTAAAACTTTATCAACAGCAGTAGCGCAATCACTGTTAGGAAATTATGGACAAAACAATTGT